CATAGAACACACAAACATGGGCTACGTCAACTGGTCGAAGCTTTTTACGCTGAGCGGGAGAACCTGAGTTCGACTCCAAGTACCTCCGCTATTTTTGCATCATTTGCCAGCTTAGATGGGCCAAGCTGGGCCAGTGGAAAATAATGTGGTCCGTCTCGGACGACGAACAACGAAAATCTGGATTAATTGCGTGCTTGGAAGATTAGTACCACCTTATTTATATTGTGCTTCGTAAAAGCGTATTATGATACGAGAAGAAAGCGTATTGTGACGATGAACCCACGGAGTCAATCCGTGCTTTATTATTAAAAAAAAATTATTAGAGAAAGATATATAGTTTGATGACATCACGTAAAACCTAGCAGATCCTCATCCAATCACACATACGTTGCACCCAATCGATCCCAATACAGATCGAAGATGGAAGAGACAGCGGCGGCCACCGCGGTGTCGCTCCCGGAGGACGCGATCCGCGAGATCCTCGTCCGCTTGGAGGACACCGCCGCTCTCTTCCGCTGCGCCGTCACGTGCAGGCAGTGGAGCCGCCTTGTATCAGATGCCTCCTTCCTCCGTCGTTGCTGGCCGGATGATCAGGCGGCGTGCCGCCGCACGTGGTCGACCTTCCTGGCCGGGTTCTTCACCATGAAACGGCTCGACCGAACGGATCCCACCTTCGTGCCGGGGGTGGCAACCTTCGTGACGTTTTTTGTCCCGACGCCGTGGTCGGTGTTCGGCCCCAGCCGCCGCTGCCTCTCCTCCTTCTTCCCGGACACCGATCCATGCCTTTTCGACCACGCGGTGCCACTCGTCGCACGCCGTGGCCTCCTTCTCGTGCAGATTGGTGTCCATGGCGATTTCGGCTATCAATATCGCCTTGCCATGTGCAATCTGCTTGCGGGCAAATGCGATGTGCTTCCCCTAGTAAGTGGTGGTCTGAATTTCGGCAAAAGCGGCTACGCCATCCTAACTGGTGCAGACTGCTCCCTAGAGCAGCAACCTTTGTTGTCATCATCAGGCTACTCGACCTTCTTCAAAGTGCTAATCCTCGGCACCATGTATGATGGGCTCGATCCCTACTTGTACTCGTTCTCATCCAGAGAGGCCACATGGAGCAAGCCTAGAAAAATAACTTTTGGACCCTATGGGCAGATGGGTGACTGTGGATATCCTGATGCCGTCGTGTCTCGCGGCAAGGTGCATTGGAAGGTTGGGTCCTGGTCAGTTGACGTGGACGCTGAGACGAATCACATCTCTCGTATAATGATCAAGCCCTCGTTGAGTTATTCCCGGACGTACGACGAGCCACAACTCACGGTCACCGCTAATGGGATGCTCTCGGTGTTATTGCTATCGAGGCCGGGTCTCAGGCTAGAGATCTACACACGACAAGATGAGAAAAAGAGTGATCATGGTGGTACTACCGAGTGGCTCCGTGCCGGCACTACCACATTGAAACCATCTGGGCGTATGAAAAGAAGACCAAGGCCAATATGCTTAACCTTGTTAGGAGATAAAAGTGGCACGATGCTACTCAAGGATAGCCAGAAGCAAATTTATATGGCTGACCTTGAGACTGGAGTGACGGAGGAGTTGACTAACTGTTTGGATGGGTTTAACCGTCGGAAGATCATATTGTTGGAGATGGACTGGCCTGCGTTATTCATTTCACAACTTTCTAGGTGGTAGGTGCATGCATGTTACTTGCATCGTTGGATGGATCATGATCGTCATCATTAGGTCAAGCCGCACTTGTTACTTGTTCTGACCAACATGAACTCCAATTTTCGGTTCTTAGGTTTGTATTAATGGTAGTAGCTTTGATAAATTTATGCTTTTAGTTTTGATTTGCATTCATTTTGATCACGTGGAACTAATCTGGCTCATGTGTCTCTGGGTGACAATGTTGTACAGTATGAACTTTCAAAATTGTTGAAGAAATCAAAATTACAAATGTTGACGTTTCAAAGCAAAGATTTTTTGACATGCTATAGCGTGAGGTCGGACCAACATCCGGGTGACCATGATCTCATCATGACGTAACATGTGGAGAAATACGATCGGACAATCCATATATTTCTTTATAGAGGAAAATATATGTCGGTGCAAAGTGTTAAGTTAACCAACAAATTAAACTTCATATAAAAAATCAGTTTCCATCGATTCATATGCAGAACCAGTTTCTACCGGTTCATACCATAAACCAATCTGTAACGATGACAATGGATGAAGCGATTGCCATGAACCATTGCACGAGACTCACATTGTCTCACGTGACATAATCGATCGTGCGAGTGATAGATGACCCATGTTCGATCATCATGGACTGGTGCTTAATTTGGTCCACATGCACATGTGACGAGGAACAATTTCATTGCATAGCATGTCGGTCATTTGACCCCTGGCACTAGCACTAGTAAAAAGAGTTACAAGTGTATGGATGAGTCAGTCGTTTGTTCGTTGGTGACCATGGCTGGGAGTTTACTTGCCGGCCCCATCACAATTCACAAGTTTTCGATTCTCCAAGCATGGCCGGGTTTTGACCTGATCCAAGACTCTTAGTTTTGTTGATATATTCTATGTCATATTTTAAGTCTCACTGATCCTGAGGATGTAGAACAATTGTGGCTTTTGAACTCGCGGGGAAAGGAAACAAAGGAATTTTTGAATACTTCACAATTTTTGACCATCGTCGGTGGTTTGCATGGGCTCCATCTGCCACTTATAGCCAAATTGGAACGTAAGGGTCTGTGCAACATTGATCGAAACTAGGTGTAGACAAAAAAATTGGACCTGAGTCGAACCCTCCGAGCACCCGATGTATGAAGGGAAAACACTAAACTAGGTTCTAGCCCAAGAACCGGGTTTTAACTTAGGACACATTTTTCTGGATTTATTTCAGGCTTTCTGTTGATTCTCGTTCAGTGGGAGGAGACGTTCTCATCGACTGCGGAGATGCTTGTGATGACTTTATCAATATTAAGATGTTGCGTAGGATGAGTTTCTCATAAGTTCTCGTATGAGTTGGGTGTGCTTACGTTCGTTAATAGGGGTGAGTATATATGCATATGTATAAGTGTTTGCGTCTGTACTGTGTTCAAAGAAAAAACTTAAGGTTGACCCATATACCCACCCCTATAAGCCACTACCCCATAGGTCATAGATATGTTTGACCCTTATCTCCTCCCAAGAAGACACTACGAAACAAGGGAGGCGTTTTGGCGCCCGGGAGCAAATGCTCCCGGATGGGAAAATTCGAATCTGAGCCCGAGCTCATCTGCACCTGCGCTCACGAAAAAAACAAAATAAATACTAGAAAAATTCAAAAAATTCGAAAAAACAATTGGGTGGTAGACAATTTGATGCGTGAGGTACGCTCCAATTTTCAAAACATTTGGACTTCTGTGCAGCTCTCAGCAAAAAAAAAAAACAAATCGGAGGTCTGTAAAAATGTGCACTGTTCATATACTGTTCTGGTCTGATTTGTCTTTTTTGCTGAGAGCTGCACAGAAGTCCAAATGTTTTGAAAATTGGAGCGTACCTCACGCATCAAATTGTCTACCATCCAGATTTTTTTGGAATTTTTGGAATTTTTCTGAATTTTTTACGATTTTTTTTTCAACTGGCTGCAGATGCACCCGGGCACTGAAACGCACCCCTCTCCCGGATGAATCTCTACTTATCTAAAAGAAACGTAAGGTTCCCTCTCCCCTCTTACATCGCCCACCCTTCGTCCATCCTTTCGTACGACCCCCACGGCCCCACCCCACCACCGATTTTCTTTCCTCCCTCCACCGGTTTTCTTTCTGCCGGTTCCCTATTTGCCGGTTTTATTCACATCCGGCTGGATGGACCCGCTATATTTTTGGCAACCAAATAATTCATGTATGATAACCAATCTTTTGTTTTGTAATACAAACGTGATCAGTACATGTATGATACGGTAATGAATATCCTCCTTGATTGCGCAAAAAAAATGAATATCCTCTTTGGTAATGCAATAAACTCAATGGAGGTCATCAATTTCCTTTCTTTTTTCCACCAATCGGTAAACAAATCAGGAGGAAGCAATCAGATGCATGTACGGAAGATAATCGCGGAGACCGCGCGTGGCATGCAGGAAGAAATTGTCGAGATCTGCGGAAACGATGGAAAGAAATCTCTAGGCTGTTCGCACTCCCCCATCAACGGCCCTGCACATGCACTATCCATTTGGATTTTCTGAAAACGTGATTCATATATCTCTCTTTCTTATCCCTATGGCCTATCGTTGTGGGCACGTTTCATCTGTAGACGCGGGCGACCGAACGGGCTCACCGGTGTACCGCACCTCAAGACCATGATTCTCAAGATGCTGCGCCCGCCCGCCATGTCCGTAGCACCCACTGAGGTGAGCTCCTTGCATTCGCATACGTGCATTAGCAACCATCACATCAGCTTTCTAATTGTGCTTATGCGTGGTAACAAAGCAGAGAGATCACCAATAAAAAGGCGGCAGTAGCAGCTACTGCTGCAAGAGCAAGACAGGACAGCGAGAGCATGTGACTCCAATTAGAATTCAGATAATAACAATCCTGCGGTAGTGGACGGTGCTTATCTTCTCAGATCATGCTGATGTTGTACATGAGAAATTATAAAGGGGAAGTACAGATTCAGGTGATGAAACAGTTAAGGAGTACAAGCTCAAGACAGTCAATGATTCAAGGCATGCACTAATGTCCAGATTTCCATACATTCCAGTATGTTGGTATATGTTAATGTATAACCTGTAAATTGTGATCATATGCCATGGGCACTGCTAATGGGATTTCGTCTCCAGAGACTCGATCGTCATCGAAGAGCAAGGTGACAAGGGTGGAAGCTGGACCACATAACATCATGTTGTACTACTATGTATTTAGAGTGATCATTGCATGCATCTTTCATTATTTTTGTAAATAAGAAATTTAATATGACGTCTCCTGTGCAGGTAACAGTTGTTTCACTTGCAAATTAGACATACAATACACTTCATCTCCCAAGCGAGGTAGACGACAATATGATTACGTATGTGTTGGTGTTCGAAAAACACAAGCAACTATTCCCTCTGTAACATAATATAAGATATTTTTAGACATTATTGTAGTGTCAAAACATATCTTGTTGTAGAGGGAGTAGAACTCAATCTTGGGGTTTCATTGCCTGTTCATATTCTGTCCATATAAAAATGGGACCGAAGGATGCATTACATCTTATATTTGCTTTCTAGCTAAATGTTTATGAACAAGACATGATTTGGCAAGATGTGCATGAGGATTGTAAAGGTATATATTTGCCATGATTGTACTGAACCATTAGAATATTTATGCCCCGTTGCAACGCACGGGCAATTACCTAGTAGTATCTAAAAAAAGTGGTAACATGTTTTTTAAAAAATGATTTTTTTGCAGATATTCATGTTAGTGTCGTAAGCATGCTTAACAATTTTCATGTGAAACAAAGCAGTAGTGTTTCGTTGGTTGGTGAGAGAGCAAATATGGGGTAGCATTTGGTATTCAATTTGTTTTTATTTCTGCACATGCCAAAATGTTTAACCCTTTTGCCTACAACTTTGCAGGTAGCATTTGGATGTGACTATGAAAACAAAATAAAATTGTTAGGATTTTGTTGATATTTAAAAAATCATTTTTCACGCAGGAGCACGTGCTCCCAGGAGCCAAATTGGATTTCCGCTAGGTAATATTTGTTTTTCGCCGGTGGGGCCAGTGAGGGTAGGAAAGCGTTGCAACGCAACTTGTTTTAGACTCGAGCTATCATTTTCCTTACTTCATGCTGTTAGATTATATAGGCATATCTTTATATATGGTAGGCAATAATTTGTAATCATCTCCTGACTTATCTTTATGAGAGACTTCTTGTCCTTCAAGCCTTGTACTCTATATAAACCGCCCAAAAGGCTCAATACAACTTTCATCATATTCTGCATCAAACATCTCTCTCCCTTCTAACGTGGTATCAGCCCAACCGGTCCAACCCTAGCCGTCCCCCTCGCTACCGTCCCGCGTGCCGCTCCTGGGGCGGTCGGCCTCCATGACCGCCGCCGGGGGCCACGCCGCCCGTACCTAGGGTTCGTCCGCCGGTCGTGTGGACCGGCTGCCCTAGAGAGTCTTTTTCCCGATCTTTTGATCCGGGTTTTCTCTCTCGCCGGTCGCTTTGATCGGTGTCTATTTTTTTGGTTTTCCGATTTAAGATCGGTTCGCCTCTACTCCAACCTTGTGGCTCTAACACCGGCCGCCTTCAACTGGCACGAGATGCGGCATCTCAGGGATGCTTGAGATCCGCAAGTTCGTCTGCATATTTTTCTCCATCGGGTGTCGTCACTCCATCAACATCTTCATCATCCACCGAGAACGACGCGTCAACATCCGAGGCCGGTTGGGCTGCGCACAAGCCGTGGCGGCCGCTCGCGTTCTGCATGGCCGTGTGGGCTGTCTACGCGCCTGTTGTTGCACAACACGTCACGGCGGGGAGCTCCTATTGGACGCGCTTTGCGTCAAAATGTCGTCGCCGCGCACAGGGGCGCAGCCTGACTGGGCCGGCCCATAGTGTGCTGTACTGGTGGTAAGAAAAGAAAGCAAAAAGGGGGAAGTGAAACGCGATGGAAACGCGATGGAATTTTTTTAAAGCACGAACATTTTTTGAATCTTGAA